CATGAAGCAAATCATAATAACATTTTCTCACTAAAGAAAATCTAATTAATTTCAAGTAAACATGAAAAATAATATGTTATTAAGGAATGCCGGGTCATTTAAAAATACTGTTATCTTTAACTGAATCGTATATGTTACTTTAAAAAATTTCAATTTTGTCAACGGAAAATATTGGGATATTTTACACCTGTATTTGCTATCACTATTCTCTCCTTCACCTATACAGAAATGAAGAGCTACAGATAGTAACCATAACCAGATGATAGAAAATATTAGGGGAGGGGGGACAGGCCCGTCGCCGAACCCTGAGAACCCCCCCCCCCTTGGCCAAAAATTCTTTCAAAATCATGCAGTTTTTCACCATTTTGAGCACTTCTCAAGTAATTTTAGCCATATTTGGGCCAAAATTGTCAAATGTGAACCCCCCCTGGAACTTTTTGACTGAGCTCATATTCATCAAACATGGCATTAACATGACGAAATGTTGTCATTTTATGCAATAACGCAAAACTGTATCGATTTGTTACAGATGCGAACCTGAAAATCTAAAAATGTTAAAAAAGACGAGGTATTATATGACAAAATCTCACTATTTGGTAACCTATTGCAAATGATTAGTCACGACAGTTTTTTTGCGTGACAGAAAATGTCACGCAAATACGCATTTTACCTGGTAATTGTCAAGCAAAAATATTTCTGTAGAAAAATTTGAGGTGATCAAAGTTTGGCAAAGGTGCTCAAACTTTGGCCAAATGTGTATAAAAGTTGGCCAAAGGTGTTCAAAATTTGGACAAAAGTGTTCAGATTTGGACTTAAGTGTCCAACATTTGTAAGTCACTCATCTTAAGTGGTCCTAAGTTGACAGCCCTGCAGATAGAGAACCTGATATGTCGACACTGACTTACCTCACTCTGCCTGTGTAAGATAGTGGCTATAACAAAATTTGAAAATGGTACCCTCTTAGTACCATAAGGTTCATGGTAGCATACAGTACTGTTTGGGTCTACAGTACCATTCAGTACAGTATTTTACGGTACCGTATGGTATAAGATTGGCTGTGAATGTAAACTCCTAGAGTGGGTGATTCATGTTAAAAAAACTTTGGGGATTCTGCACCAGACTGAGCAATTAATATCAACCATGCTTATAACTCTTATTCTTTAAATCACATTAATCTTTTAGCTATTAGTTTATTTATATAGCACATTTCTCATTTGCATTTAGTTAATTGTATTTACTTAACAAATCAGAAAATATGTAAGCACTCAGCACTTGTATTCAATTTCATAATCCAGGAAAATGTTTATTAATGCACCAAAAACTGACAAATTAAGGCACTAATCACCCAAAACAATTATTCCTTCTGATAAATATGACAGGTAAGTCTAGTGATTGCAGCCAGGCTGGAGCCAGCTTTTTTTCCAAAGGGGAGTTTACTCTTAAAAAAGTTCCAGGGAGGGTTCACATTTGACAACTTTTGCCCAAAATCACTTGAAAAGTGCTCAGAATGGTGAAAAACAGCATGATTTTGAATCTCCTGACAATGGGCCTGACAGCCTTGCCTCCACTAAACCAGAACAACGGCAACGCCAAAGCGTAGCGAATCCCATCGAACAGAAATGGCTGGCATTTTTACAAACGAAGCGCAAATATCATAAAACAACACACCAGAAAGGCCACCATTTTCAAAATGGTTGCTCACTAGCCAAGTTGTCATCAGAAGAAATAATATGCTTTTAAGTAGCCACCTCTAAAATTTTTTGAAAAATCGCACACGTAAAAATGGTGGCCATTTTTCAAAATGGCCGACTACTCCCCAAAGTTTTATTAGACAATGTGCCATGCTTAAAGTATTCACATATCAAATATGAACAAAATCGCTCCACTACTTTTCGAGTTATAGTAAAATACGTTAAAATGGCGGCCATTTTTCAAAATTGTTTTCAAAATGGCCGCCTTCTACCAAAAGTGTCATAGGACAGTGTGCCATGCTTATAGTATTCACATACCAAATATGAACAAAATCGCTCCACTACTTTTCGAGTTATAGTAAAATACATTAAAATGGTGGCCATTTTTCAAAATTGTTTTCAAAATGGGCGCCTTCTACCAAAAGTGTCATAGGACAGTGTGCCATGCTTATAGTATTCACATACCAAATATGAACAAAATCGCTCCACTACTTTTCGAGTTATAGTAAAATACGTTAAAATGGCGGCCATTTTTCAAAATGGCCGCCTTCTACCAAAAGTGTCTTTAGACAGTGTGCAATGCTTATAGTATTCACACACCAAATATGAACAAAATCGCTCCACTATTTTTTGAGTTACAGCAAAAATCGTAAAATGACGAGTAAAGGCCGCCATTTTTCAAGATGGCTGCCATGTGCTTTTTAATATCTACATTTGTAGCATTATTAATGTCCTTTATACTTTTTTTACATTTAAAACATATTGCTATTACAGTTTTACATATTGCACCTAAATTACTGTAAAATCGTCACTAAAATGGCCGCCATTTTGAAATGAGCGGCCATTATGAAAATCGGCTTTCGAGCAGAACTTCTACCCCCATAGGGTATATGTGTACGAAATATGAACAAAATCGGGCCAACGGTATTTGAGTTATTGCCCGGACGGACAGACGGACGGACGGACGGACGGACGGACGTACGTACGGACGTACGGACGGACGGACGGACGGACGGACGGACGGAGGCGTTCCCTATATCCCTCCGAACTTCGTTCGATGGGATAATAAAATCTAAAAAATGAAACCTCAACAAGAGAATATGCATCTATATTTATACCTCTTTGATCAACTCCTATCAACTGAGAATTATATGTCAGGTGGATCAAAGAATAATCCTGAACCTCAACCGTAACTTTTTTCAATCGAGCCCCTCCGCATTAAACAATTCATTTTATTGTACTACATGTATTGTATTGCATCCAGAGTCAAATCTCATTTAAAACCAATCAATAGTAAAATAAAACAACAATTTACCTCTTAAAGATCTATAAACCTGCCTCATCAGATAAATAATGAAAGTAAAATTCAATAAACACTTGAAACAGCTACATTGTGCTACAATCATCTACCCAGTCAAGGACATAGGGGTGGAACATAAGAAAACAAAAATGGGATGCCTGTTTCACCCTAAAGCATTATATTTCAGGATGAATAAAAATTGAGCCAGTGAGATTTTCTAGTTTATATATTCAGGATACAAAAAAAATTGAACGTGAGATTTTTTTTACATGTCTCTCATCTTTCCCCAGGATTGAATGGTCCACCCCTAAAGACCTTAATATAAGTAATTGGTCAAACTATCTGTCAAATCATACCCAATGCTCATATTTAGAGAATAGCCTTGATCTGTACTATATAATTTAAAAATATTCATCATATGAATGAATTACTCTATTTTACTTTACAGAATATGAAGATAAACCTGGTCTTATCCATGCGAACTAAAAATATTTCAATTTTTCAAGGGACATCATTTTTAAAAAGTAGAATATTTGAGGTCATTTAGCAGAGATAAGGAGCATGGTTTATAAGGAACAAGTTTATTTGTCTTGTAGAAAAAGTGCAAAAATATCCACAAGAAAAAAGTAAAGTATTCTTTATATCTATTGCTCCTACCTAAAAAATCCAAGAAAGATCTCGCATTGTATTCATATTTCAAAAAACAAGGAAATTCAGATGTTGATAGATCAAACATTTTTGGAATATGAATTTATCAATCTGAAGAGTATGTAAACAAGAGTTAAGTAAACATACTAAGGTTGTAAACGAGATAACTTTCACTGTCTGACAACTAATTTTGATAAATAAACTTACAATGGAAGTTAAGTTGACTTCTGAAGTATTTTTATTGATTAATTTGGTTTAATAAACTGATTTCATAAACTACCTTAGATAAACACTTGTGGGAACGTGTTGTCTTCCCAAGTCAGGTCAAAATTCAATTTTTTTTGTTTCAATTTGATTGTTTATTCAATTTCAATTTATTGATCAACATTTCTTGAAAACGGCCTCTTCCACTTAACATTTTTCTACCATTTTCAAAAATATTATTTTGGATCACAAAACAGCATTTTTCTTCTAGCTTCTTCTATGTTTAAGGCATCCTCAATCTCCCATAGGAAGAAGGATTTTATCATATTTAATAAGAACATAATTTGGTTTAAATCAACATCAATACCCCTCTATTTATGTCAAAGTTCACTCAAATATTAATCTGTTCAAATTCATCTGGACATCTTTCTGTGGATAATGACCACCAGAGGACAATTGATCCCAGGACTAATTGAACCCCTGGGACTCTGTTGTCAAGGTAACACAAAATATGACATATGAAATCCTGGGATTTCAATTAATTAGGAATTCATTACCTTTTGTTAGTGACAGGTTGTAAAGTATGTCATATTTTGAATCCATTTGGCCTGCATGCTATTCCATGTGTCTAATTAGAATGTATGGAGAGGAAGGTGGGTGGGGGCACTGTGCAATTTCTTATGATAATATCCCTTAAATCTTTGTACCAAACCCCTAGCCAGGGTCTTGAAGCAAGACTATGAGCCAGTTTTTATTAGAATCTATTTTTTTAAGTTAACATCTTATTGAAGCATATCTACATCACGGTGGTGAAAAAGGTTCATATATCATACAATATTGAGCTGATGGAGATCATATATCATACAATATTGAGCTGATGGAGATAATATATCATACAATAGATGCTACACATTTACTTATTCCCATTGTGGCTTCTACACTTATTCCATACAAAAAACATTAGATAGAGGAACTAGATAGAATGACTTACCCATGAATAAGTTTAACATCAATGCCAAAGTTGTCCTTTTCCAAATCTATCGATTTCATAAATCCAATTTCTTCATCTTCAGTTTCATACTTCCAGAGATCTGTTTCAGTCTACACAGCACACTTGTTCCAGAATATTATGTTGATTTCTGTAAGATATTAAAACACAAATGTCTTCATTATGTCAGTTTATATTAAATATTTTGTCTAGAAAACTTTCAACAGGCTTAGCAACAATGTCAAATGAAGGAGTTAAAACATATGTTATGTCGACAAATGAGCAGTTTTAGGTCAAACTTTCTACAGTAACTTAAAATCAAGAAACCGACATGCAAAATTCACCACCTGCTAATTTTTTCTGCCGACTGTTAAACACCAACTGGAGAATAGACGAACAATGTCCACAAAAAAAGTTGGAGACAATAACAATATGTCACCACTTGTGGTGGTGACATAATATTGAGCTGATGGAGATGATGATGATAAAGTTGCCCATCTTGCCTCATCAATTTCTTTCAATAAAATTAAAGCATAGAGGGCTCTGTATACTGTAGATTGGGTTAATTTGGCGCTACTTAATTTGGCGATTTTGCCATTTTTGGCATATTGGCGGCTATTTAATTTGGCGGATATGCAAAAAAAGTTAAACTTACGCGCTGTTTGCGAATTACCATGTAAATGGGCATGTTTGGCTATGGCTATGTTCATTTTTCTTTTGAGGACCACTGGCGATATTCATCATGTTTCTGAGATCATCCTTTACATTTTGCACCTTGATCGATGCTGCTACTATTAATAGTATTAATGAGTGACTGACCAGTTCTGAGCCAATTTATGAGAGACATTTTTTCATATTTTTGGAAAAAAATAAACTGGAAGTGACCTAAATACACTGGACGAAATACCCTAGATAATTCCCAGGGATTCATTCTAAGTTTTGGCGAAGATTTATATTGGCGAATTTTTCAATTTCGCCAAATCCGCCAAATTAAAGCGGGCGCCAAATTAACCCAATCTACAGTATGTGAGGTGCCTCGTAATTTCAAATCCTCAAGTAAGTGCAAAATCAACAAGGCATTAACATGCAAAATGTCACTGCCTGCCTGCCATTTCCAGTGTTACAGATGCCAAATACCAACTGCCGCCACAAAAAAGTTGTAGACTATAATAATATGTCACCACATGTAGTTGTGACATAAAAAATATGCCTTAGACACAGCTCAGAAAAATATAACCTTCGTCAATTACCTGTACATGGGTATATAAATAGTCATCTGTGACTCTGCACAAGACAGTAGGTGTAATTTACTAGAGACCATAGCAGACATGTAAAGTTATGTTTGATTTTATTTCTCACAAGTTCTAATTTCAAAACCCGCTGAGTCTCAGTTGTTCAGTTCCTGTATATATCATATACCCCATGTCTCACATTTCATGTTAATTCCCCATGTAAGTTCCCCCATTCTGTCATGAAATGCCTTCTTTAGTCTAGCTACAAGCTTACGCCCCCCCCCCTCCCTCGGTGTATTATGGATGGTGATCATAAGGAAAACAAATCTCTTTTATTCTAAACCTAACATTTTTTGATCATCACCAGCCAGGTTTGTTTCCTCCTGTAAATCTTCAAAAAATCGCTTTCTTTTAAAGCTCTCAAAAATGGGTAACAACGCAAGTTTCTAATCAAGGTTTGTTCATTTTGTTTTTTGTAATCTGATTTAAATAATAAATCTATTATATAGAAGGTGAAAAGGTACATTATTAATAATGGCAGACATCTCCAAATAAGTGGGTCCAAAAAAGATTGGGCCTAAAGTATGCCCCTCCCCACATAAATGCCCAGGGCAGTTGAGATAACAAACCTTTCTAAATTTCATGAAATGGGATTTGAACAAGTCTAACATATTCAAGCAGATGTAAATCACTGTTTCATTGTTTATTTTGTTTTGTTGTTATATGTCAAGGGGTGACAAATTGAACTGTTGAAACATCACTTTTCAATTTCAGCTAAGGCTACACACTGAACTTTTCAAGTCATTTCGAAGCTTATGATATCCCTGGGTATTGTTAACATTATTACGATTCTGAATATTTATTAACATATTTTTGATGACTCCATTGCATTAAATTATTGCAAATTTGACAAATTCTTTCTTTTACTTCAAGTCGGTTCTGTTTAGTGCCATCTCTTCTAATCTGTCAAATTTTTATCAAACAATCCTCTTATTTTCAAAACCATATGTTCAAGATATAGGTCATACAAACTGCCACTAGGAGTTACGCCATCTATTTATTGAAAAGTCATTTAAAAACATCTTGGTAGTGTAAAGCGGTGCATTTGCTGATAATCTCTGAAGTTCTCATGCTGTTTTCTAACTGAGTGTTTTCTTTCTTGGCTTAAGGCCAGGGTGCATGTTTCAGAATATTGCTGCATTTCTCAATTGAGTCACATGTTATTTTTCAAGCAAGAATCACTCCTTCCCCACATTGTCTACATCTTCCAGTTTTGCACAGAGTGCTCAAACCCATCAACCCCCCCTGGATTTGTCACTGTAAATCATGAGCCTACATGTAATTTACACTTGATTTTCACCTTTTTTAAGAATTCATAACGTAATTATCAACCAATAAACATCTTAAAGTGGTGACGTATTATTATGGTCTCCAGTTTTTTGTGACTGCGGTTGATGGTTGGTGTCCAGCAGTTGGTGTCTGGTGGTAGGTGTCCGGTGTGTAACAAATTCTTACAACTTCCAATAACTTAACAAATACTGTTTAGACTGACTTCAATCTTTTTATAAATCATCTACAACCCCCCCCCCCCCCGGCTAAAAAAGTGATTTTGGCAATTTTCGGACCAAAATTGTCACAAGTGAACCCCCCTGGAATTTTTCAAAAAGTGAACCCCCCTTGGCAAATCCTGGCTACAGGCCTGAAATCATTTACATGTAATCTCAAAATGGCAGTAAAAGTTCAATGTGAGAGATATTTTATTTTTTAACTTCATGAATGCACTTGAAGTCACTGTTTCTTACCATTTCATGTTTCTTAATGTTCAGAGCAAATTGCATTGGCTACTGGGCAATGATGTACATAGTGTTAGTGGGCACAAGAGCGAAATTCTAGTCATTAAGAGTGTTAGACAATTTTTTGTTTTAATCTCATGCCTTGGTCAAATTTGCTCTGATTTTCACTACGGCGCCTAGGTGATTGAGTATTTTGTTCAAAATTGAATACAATATTGAACAAAACACTCAATCGGGCGGGCGCCGGCCTAATGATACCGAAAAGTGAACATCCAAAAAACTGAAGAAAGTGTACATGTAATTTGTTAAGCTAACTTTAATTCTCATGCATTAATGTATATTTATCATATTAAATCATATCAATCACATTATAAAATCATAATAAATTATATCATACCTTACAATATCAATTATATCATATAAATTATCATACAAATCATATCATATATCAATCATATTATACCTCATGTTAAATCATATCAATCACATTATTAAATCATAATAAATCATATCAAATTATATCAACCATATCATACCTTACCATATAAATTATATCATATAAATTATCATACAAATCATATCATATATCAATCGTATTATCTCTCATATTAAATCATATCAATCACATTATTAAATCATAATAAATCATATCAACCATATCAAAAATATCATACCTTACCATATACATTATATCATATGAATTATCATACAAACCATATCATATATCAATCATATTATATCTCATGTCAAATCATACATATTATAGCAATAATCATACCATATGCTATTATATATATCATATCACATTGCCTATCATATATAATGACTATATCATATTATATATCATTGTATATAATCTAATAAAACTTATCATGATTACATATATCGTATTAAATATCATTGTATATAATCTTATAGAACTTATCATGATTACATATATCGTATTAAATATCACTGTATATAATCTTATAGAATTTATCATGATCACATGTATCATATTAAATATCATTGTATACAATCTTATAAAACTTATCATGATTACATATATCATATTAAATATCATTGTATATAATCTTATAAAACTTATCATGATTACATATATAACATTAAATATCGTTGTATATAATCTTATAAAACTGATCATGATTACATATATCATATTATATATCATTGTATGTAATCTTTTAAAATTTATCATGATTACATGTATCATTGTATATAATCTAATAAAACTTATCATGATTACATATATCATTCTATATAATCTAATAAAACTTATCATGATTACATATATCATGTTAAATATCATAACACATCATATAATATAACATATCATGTGTCATATTACATAATATATCATGTCACATCATATATCATATTATATATCAGTGGAAACGCTAACCCCATTTAACATGTAGTATGACAACTGCTATGTTGCACGACAATTGATGTGAAATTAAGAAGCATAAGTGCGCATGCCAATAGATAATAACATTATATCAGGGTTCTCACTAGGCTCTTAGACTCCGGAGATTCTCCGGAGTCTAATGTCTTAAAACCTTCTTGCTCCAGAGTCTAACAGCTTTTCCTGAGTGTAAAGTATTTTTTCCGGAGTCCAATATTACATTATTGTCACATTATTTGCAGTAAATACATAAAACTGGATACAAACAAGGAATAGGAAGTCAGAAACCTTTTAGGAATAAATATTGGGATTAAAATAGCAAGATAATCTTAAGAAGTATGTTGAAAAGTATACTAATAGGATATCTATGATCTCACATGGGGGAGAAGTAGTCACAATACCGCTAAATCTGGGGTCTAAAAATTTCCTGGTTAGAACCCTGTGTATGATTTCATGGCACAGCTTATCACATTGCACTACATGTATATGTCATATCATATTATATATTTATAATGTAACACATCATATATTTGATCATTTATCTTATCACATGGTTAGGAGTTTCTATGCATTTTGATTGGTCAATTGTGACAACGTATATTCCGTATCACACGACACATGACTAATCTATAAAAAACATTTTTTCTGTAATTTCTCACATCAAATGGCAGACATCTTGTTTTTCCCCCTTCAAATTAAACTGGCGGGAAATTAAAAAATATGAAAACATTTAAAACCCTCAATAGAAAAATTTCATTCTCAGTTTTTCAAGACAGATGCTTAAAATCTATTTTACCAAAATGTACATACAATTGGAAAGCTCAGGCCTTAATGTGAAGAACACACCTTATATTTTACAGTTTTTTGAAATATTGCATTGTATTTCATACAAGACAGTTCTTTTTCTTTTGTGTAATTTTTCCCTTCTTGGAAATTAGCAAATTATAATACCCACAAATTAGCTGAAAATTTAACCTTTTAAAAGGTGATAATTAGCTCAAAAATTTGCTCAAATTATGCCATATAGCCGCATTTTCATCTTTGTAATTATGTTACAAAATTGAGTCTCAGTTTTTCAAGACAGATGCTTAAAATCTAGTTTACAAAAATGTATTATGAAAAACTCAGGCCTAAATATGTTACTTATACTGTGTGCAGGATACCAAAAAACTGAAAATTAGCAAATTACAATACCCACAAATTAGCTGAAAATTTATCATTTTTGAAGATGAAAATGAGGCATTGATGAAGGTGATAATTAGCTCAAAAATCAGATTTTCATAATTGTAATTATATTACAAAATAGAGTCTCATATTTTCAAAACAGATGCTTAAAATCTAGTTTACCAAAATGTATAATTGAAAAACTCAGGCCTTTATGTATACAATATATGTATACAAGGCTAGAAAAAGAGCAAAAGTACACACTTTATATTGTTGTTAACTATAATGATGTTAACTTAATAATAAAATGTACACAGTTTTTTAAATACTGCATTGGTTATAATATAAGGCATCTCTTTTTGTCCTTTTTTCGCTTCAGTAATTTTTTCTTCCCCGCATTGACAGAGTTAGAAGTTGGTGGGAGACTGGTTGCATGGTTCACTGCACCAGAATCATCTGTAAATGATATTCCAGAGGGTCTTTCATTTAGGGAGTGAACACCGTTTCCATCACTAGAGCTGCAGTGATCTGATTGGAGCACCGTGTTGTCATGGGCATAGTGGTCAATGTTGGGACGAGCGCCAACATCAGATTGTGCTCCACGATGGTGTATTGCCTGACTTTGGGATTGTGGGTGACTTTTATTTGGTTGTTGTAAGTTAAAATGTTCACTGCCATTGCTACAGGCACTGCGGTCAATGTTGGGACGAGCGCCAACATCAGATTGCGCTTCACGATGGTGTATTGCCTGATTGTGGGATTGGCGGTGACTTTTATATGGAGATTGTAAGTTAAAATGTTCACTTTCGTTGCTACAGGCATAGTGGTCAATGTTGGGACGAGAGTCAACATTAGATTGCACTCCACGATGGTGTATTGCCTGACTGTGGGATTGTGGCTGACTTTTATATGGCTGTTGTAAGTTGAAATGTTCACTTAAGTTGCTACAGGCATAGTGGTTAATGTTGGGACGAGAGTCAACATCAGATTGCGCTCCACGATGGTGTATTGCCTGACTGTGGGATTGTGGCTGACTTTTATATGGCTGTTGTAAGTTGAAATGTTCACTTAAGTTGCTACAGGCATAGTGGTTAATGTTGGGATGAGCGCCAACATCAGATTTCGCTCCACGATGGTGTATTGCCTGACTTTGGGATTGTGGGTGACTTTTATTTGATTGTTGTAAGTTGAAATGTTCACTTCCGTTGCTACAGGCACTGCGGTCAATGTTGGGACGAGCGCCAACATCAGATTTCCTTCCACGATGGTGTATTGCCTGACTTTGGGATTGTGGCTGACTTTTATATGGCTGTTGTAAGTTGAAATGTTCACTTAAGTTGCTACAGGCATAGCGGTCAATGTTGGGATGAGCGCCAACATCAGATTTCGCTCCACGATGGTGTATTGCCTGACTTTGGGATTGTGGGTGACTTTTATTTGATTGTTGTAAGTTGAAATGTTCACTTCCGTTGCTACAGGCATCGCGGTCAATGTTGGGACGAGCGCCAACATCAGATTGCGCTTCACGATGGTGTATTGCCTTACTGTGGGATTGGCGGTGACTTTTATATGGTTGTTGTAAGTCAAAATGTTCACTTCCATTGCTACAGGCATAGTGGTCAATGTTGGGATGAGCGCCAACATCAGATTTCGCTCCACGATGGTGTATTGCCTGACTGTGGGATTGGCGGTGACTTTTATATGGAGATTGTAAGTTAAAATGTTCACTTTCGTTGCTACAGGCATCGCGGTCAATGTTGGGAGGAGCGCCAACATCAGATTTCCTTCCACGATGGTGTATTGCCTGACTGTGGGATTGGCGGTAACTTTTATATGGCTGTGGGTGACTTTTATATGGAGATTGTAAGTTAAAATGTTCACTTTCGTTGCTACAGGCATCGCGGTCAATGTTGGGACGAGCGCCAACATCAGATTTCCTTCCACGATGGTGTATTGCCTGACTGTGGGATTGGCGGTAACTTTTATATGGCTGTTGAAAGTTTAGATGTTCACTTCCGTTGCTACGAGCGCCAACATCAGATTTTGCTCCACGATGGTGTATTGCCTGACTATTGGATTGGCTGTGACTTTTATATGGTGATTGTAAGTTAAAATGTCCACTTCGGAATGTTGCATCTTGGTCAGGGTGTCTTGCGTAGCTCTGGCTATGTGTACCCTTACCTACTTTGGCTTTTGGTTCCTCTTGAGGACGTGAAATTGGGTTCATAGTACTCTGTGCCAAAGCACTTGAGTCCTGATTTAATATCCAATCGATCTGTCGATTGTCTTTAATTTGACTAAGATAGATAACACCATTGGGTGCACTGGTGTCAAACAGAGTGGAGAGTAGATCCTTTTTTTCTGAACTTTCTTTTAATTGGTTTTTACTTTGACATGATCTGAGTACTCCCATTTGCGGTATTTTTCGCATATTGCGAGATAGGCCTGGCATGGAGCTACAAGAATACCTGCGCCCCCTGGGGTCATGTTTTTCATTATTGTTTTCTAAGTAGCCATCAAACTCCTCAAGGCATAAGTTGAAATACTCCCGACTTTTTGCCCTTGTTATTGCCTCCTCAGGTGGGGGAGGGTGCTGGGGAGGGGGAGGGTTCGGTATAGTTGGGGGTCTATGCCGAGCGTTTTGAACCCTGTTTTTCTTATTTTTCACCTGGCAATCCTTGTTAATGTCCTCAATTCTGGGCAGAGGGGGTAACTGATTATTGAACTCCATTGTTGGGCCACCCTGAGCCAGCTTTCGTGACTTCCTCTCAATTCTGGCACTATATAAAATAGAGAATATTGCTTTGTTATAAGAAGTGTCTATATGTAAGAATCTCTTGTAATGTGCAGTAATCAGCAATGAGCCAAAAATACTCAGCACATATAAATAGTCCATCAGCCTGGGGGGTTGGTCAGTATCAAATCAGGGGAATAATCACCATAGTGATTTTTGGGACGGTGTAGACCCCTAGAGTAAGGAAATATGTGATAGCATCGCAACAGTTGTAGCAAAATGGGTGTTATCACCCATTTTTCAAAATGGCCGCCAGTGCACATGTTACAATATAAGAGTGGGTATATCTAAGCACACTGGGATGCAAAAACTGTGATTTTAGGACCTATGTTTGGGTTTTAGGAGTCAATGATTTCATAAATGTCTACGTCTAAGTCATCAAACAATTACATTTTATAGAAATCCAAGATGGCGACCAAAATGGGTGCCAAAACTACTATATAACTAATGATTTAAATGGGTGCCAAAACAAATATGTAACTATTGATTCAAGGTCAGAACAGTTCAGAACAGTGATTTTTGGAGACAGTGTCCAAGTTTAATGGGGTAAGAATTTCAGTTATGTGTATAACTAAGTCATCAAATAATTCCTTCATTTGGACATCAAGAAGTCAGCCAAAATGGCTGCAGAAGTGAATATGTAACTTTTTACCTTAACATAGAGCAGTTAGGACATTATTTTTGGATATCATTTCTAATTTGTGAGATCAATGATTTTAATTTTGTCAAACAAAATCATTGAATAATTTATTTATATGGATGTCCAAGATGGCTGCAAAAATGACTGCCAAAATAAAAAATCAATGTAGCCTAACTTTTGATTTAAGCACATGGATCACTAAGAACCATAATATTTGAAACAATGATATTCTCATCTCCCTTTGATTGCACAGTCTCTTAGTTTTTGGTCTGCTCTCATCATTACTGCCTTATTAAGTTTTTTCATGTGTGTGAGACTTCTTCCGATGCCTAACTTTGCTGCATATATATATATATAAGTAAAAATAAGAAGAACTAATAAAATACGTTTGAAAATCTAAACATGTTTCTTTATTCCTCAGTAGATTTTTCAAAAATGAGAACAAGAGGTATACAGGTAAGTATGACGTAATATTAATATAATTAATTAAACGTCATGGAAACCAATAAACTATATATATATATATATATGCATATTAGTCGTACACTGTTGATTCTGATGATTTATTTCTAGATGATCTTTTTGGCATAGGCACTGGTACTAGCCCCCTCGCTTATGCTTTCAAATTGACTGTTGTTAACTGTTCTTTGAGCTTAAGTCAAAAGTTACATATTCGTTTCGGCACCCATTTTGGTGGCCATCTTGGATTTAAATTAAAAAGTAATTATTTGATGACTCAGATTTAGACATATTTAAATGAAATCCTTGACCCCTAAAATGTAGATATGGGCTCCAAAATCACTGTTCTTAAGTGTTTTTTGAGTTTAAATCAATAATTACAAATTCATTTTGGCACCCATTTTGGCAGCCATCTTGGATTTCTATGAAAATTAATTATTTGATGACTCCAATTTAGACATAAATGAGATCCTTGACCCTATAAACCCAAACATAGATTCTTAAATCAGTTTTTGTATCTCAGTATGCTTAGATATACCCACTTTTATATTGTAACTCGTACACCGGCGGCCATTTTGAAAAATGGGTGATAACACCCATTTAGCTACAACTGTTGCAATGCTATCACACATTTTCTTACTCTAGAGGTCTTAACCTTTCCAAAAATCACTATGGTGATTATTCCCCTAACTTGATACCGATAACCTAAATTTTGGGGCGAAGCTGATGGCCTAAAACAGAGACATTACAGAGGCAATACTCGCTGCATATATGGAACACTCTGTATATTCAGGTATTGCTCCTCTTTATTTGTAGAACAGCGCACATAAGCACTGATTATATGTGAAGTTAAGAATACTCAAATATATGCAAACGCAATACTCTGTAAGTGTGCAATATATTCACACATTATAATTGCTTCTTTCTGACTATATTAAGCTATTTCTAAGTTACACTGCTCATTTTATAACTGAGCATACAAATAAAAAACAGACTATTTGTGCATATTTTTCTTTTAAGCATGATAAAACAATACAACTAAAGAATGTAAGTATAGTCCGTAGTTCTTAATGAATATGACTTTACCTGAATATAATAAGCAACTAGATGGATTTTGAAATGGTCTATTTTGACTATAATTATGATTTTGGACACTTTAATAATCGCGCTAGAAGAGAGATCTTCCTTGTAGTTATCAAAAGTTGGTAATAATAATAGTAATAATAATGCTAATAAAAATTGCTTGTGCAAACACGTGTTTTATGGATATCGCCCCCCCCCCCCCCCCCCCCCCCCCTCCTTCCCAACGGAAAGCTGGCTACACCGCTGAACTTGTTATCTCTACTTTCAGAGTCAATGCAACCTAATTCTTCCTGAGAAGGTATTATAATTTACCAATCTGTTAACAACGTTTGTATTAAATCTTGCATTATGCATGGGAATTCAATTTTTTACTTTTTCAAATCGCCGCTTTGATTGTTTCCAATTACTCATGATCAAAGCAAATCGAAGTCTAGACTCTTTTGGTCATGTTCTCGATTTCAATTACAATCCACACATCAATTCAGAATCATAAAATATAAATCACTGGAGCAACGTCAAACAGCTTTTAATCCGCTTAATTAGTTATCAAAACACATTCTTGCCTTTGAATTAATAGTGGGCTGTATAGCAAGGTTGGTCGTGGTCGGGAGGTGGGGATAATTTTATTGCTTAAATATAACCATATCATCATCCTACATTAGAATCCACTCAGTGTAACATCAATTTCTGGTGCGAAAGTTGTCATTTTTTGAGTTTTACCCCCTTTGAAGACAAATTCTTGAGGGTACTATGACAAATGCTTATAGCTAAAGAAGTATTTATTTGATCATCTTCATTTTTGGCATGGGTAATTAACAGGTATGCATAAGTAAAATTTGAAAAATTCATACAAATCGGGTGATTATTCCATTCTAAAGATAATACATGTAATAGTTCAGGTATTTTCAAGGGTCAATTTGGAGTTCAAAGTGGAGTTCATATATCATACAATATTGAGCTGATGGAGATCATATATCATACAATATTGAGCTGATGGAGATCATATATCATACAATATTGAGCTGATGGAGATCATATATCATACAATATTGAGCTAATGGAGATCATATATCATACAATATTGAGCTGATGGAGATCATATATCATACAATATTGAGCTGATGGAGATCCTATATCATACAATATTGAGCTGATGGAGATCATATATCATACAATATTGAGCTGATGGAGATCATATATCTACAATATTGAGCTGATGGAGATCATATATCATACAATAGATGCTACACATTTACTTATTCCCATTGTGGCTTCTACACTTATTCCATACAAAAAGCATTAGATAGAGGAACTCTGAAAAATCAGCATGACTTACCAGTTTAATATCAATGCAGAGAATGCAGATATCTGTTTCAGTCTATACAGCACACTTTTGCTGAAGAATTGTGTTGATATTTCTGAAAAATATAAGAAAACAAATGTCTTCATTATGTCAGTATATATTAATATTTTGTCTTGAAAACTTTCAAACTTTCAACAGGCTTAGCAACTATGTCAAATGGAGGAGTTAAAACTTATGTTATGTCGACAAATGAGCAGTTTAAGGTCAAACTTTCTACAGTAACTTAAAATCAAGGCATGAAGATGCAAAAAGTCACCACCTGCCAAACACCAACTGGAGAACATTGAACAATGTCCACAAAAAAGTTGGAGACAATAACAATATGTCACCACTTGTGGTGGTGACATAATATTGAGCTGATGGAGATGATGATGATAAAGTTGCCCATCTTGCCTCATCAATTTCTTTCAATAAAATTAAAGCATAGAGGGCTCTGTATATGTGACATGCCTCATACTTTCAAATCCTTAAGTAAGTGCAAAAATCAACAAGGCATTAACATGCAAAATGTCACCACCTGCCATTTGTTATAGATGCCAAACACCATACACCAACTGCCGCCACAAAAAGGTTGGAGACTATAACAATATGTCACCAC